GGAGGAGGAGGAGGAGGAGGAGGAGGAGGAGAAAGAGACAGAGAAGGGGGGAAGCAGAGAAGTGGGGAGAGAGGCAGAAGCAAAGCTGCCTCTCCGAGAGGAAGACGGAAAAGAGTAAGGCAAGCTTCTTTAAGTAAATTGATAGTAAATAGTTACTTTGAAACACAGTTTATCTTTATCAGTAGAGAGCATCTGCCTATTTCTAGGAGTCCTAGCAGCTCTAGAAAAATGAAGCCTGAGGCCTGATTCAAATGAACTATCAAGGTTAACTGCAGCCTCCGGGAAGGAGCTGGTACCCAGGCTGCTTTAAAGGATACAGTTAGCCGGTCAAAATCATCAGAGATCTGAGAAGGATACATTATAGCAGGAAGTGTAATCCAAGTGGCCTAAACTCAGGAAAGGGAGGACTTGCTGTAGCTGGGTGGTTACCCTAGGCTGCCACCATCTTGCTGGCTTTCTTGGGGGTAGAAGCAGTTGTCTTCAGCTGTCATGCAGGATCTTGATCCTCAGCTACCACACTGGGCAGCATCAGCCTTTGCCTGTCTGACCCAGAAGGTCTGAGAGATTTTCCTGTGGAGAAGGAAAACTGAGCTCACCTTGATGAGGTGGAGTAGGGCAGTCAGCCAACAGTGCACACGGTCTGGGCAGAGCCCTGGTGGCCGGGGAGGTAGGGGGCAATTTTCCCAGTGGTTAACGTCCCCATACTCCAGGTGTCATAGTTGGTGCCCCATTATCTTTTTTGGAGACTTTAAGTTTGCTTCTAGGATCTGGCATTTTTGTCTATCATAGCAAGATATTTTATTAGGCTTTTTTTTTTTTTTAGAGGTTTCTCTATGTAGCTCTGGCTTTCCTGGAACTTGCTTTGTAGAGCAGGCTGAATTTAGAGTTCTCCTGCCCTGCCTCCTGAGTGTGGGGATTAAAGGTGTGCAGCACTGTTGCCCTGGTTATTAAGCATCTTAAAAACCATACTCATCAGATCTCTGAAGATTTTGAAGGCCATCTATGAAGTAGACCTGATTTTAAATAAACTTTACTTGTTTTAGCTACTTGCTTTAGGCTTAACCTTGAAAACATTTAGGAAGCTAAATAAAGCTTGTCATTAAATGAATTCTATGACAGTTTACAAATTAGTAGCTTTTATAAAATTAAGAATTTTACATCTTTATCTCTGTTAAGTTTGAGCCTTAAAAGTTTGAGTTCAAGATTTAATTGAAGATCCTTCAGCATTAAAATAAAAATTTAAACCATAAATACAGTCCATAGAGAGACTGGGGACTTTACAAAGCCATAAATATAGTCCACAGATAGACTGGAAACTTTATTCTTTTATAGTGCTCTACTACAGAAGTCACAGTTTTTTTTTTCATGACACAATTTATCCAAATATCAAAAGCTTAACAAAGTTAGCAAAGACAGAAAGACTAGACATGTATCGAACTTCAGGTCAGTTACTGTCAACCTCAGTAGTACTTAGGACTTTAAAAACCTTATTTATCAAAAATCCCTTATTCAAACATACATTGCTTCCTGTTTAAATTTTCTAGGAGCCTGGTGCTGAGCAGTTAGCAAAGATCTAAGTGGTTAGACATATGTCACTAAGTCAGTTTTTAACCTGAGTTATTTTTATAACCCGAGTTTATCTTTATAACTTAGGAACTTATAAACCTTACAAAATTTCATATTAATTTAAGATATTTTAGAGACCTGTCTCCTTAGTCTAAAAAGCAGAGACAATGACAAACCAAGGGCTCAGTAGGACTGAGAAGTTTTATGCCATCTGGTCATCTTAAGACAGTGATGAAGTCACATGGTATGTATGCTTTAACCTTAATAAAGATGGCTGATAACCATTGCGGATGCTGTTCACAATCTCCCCCCCCCTTTTAGTGAGTCTTCTTTAAAATAAGAGTTGAATCTAAGCTACTTATACAGTATATTTTAAACAAGATTTGAAATACACACACATGTGTGTGAGTACACACACACACACACATACATATTAGCAAATTAGGATAATCCATGGATGGGTTTTAAACTATAAGCCTTTTAGTATAACTTTTAAGCCAGATTTTTGTTACAGATTTTATAAATGTTTAAACCACACCCTGAGATTAAGATAGAGTTCATAACATAGTTTTAAGAGATTTTCTGAGAGCAGAGCAAAGGGAAATCAGAGAGAAAAGATTTTTTTAAAGTGATAATTAGAAAAGCCTTAGAGATAAGAGACTTATTGAAGTGGTGAGAAGTTTAGACACTAGAGATTTGGGATCATTTGCTTGTGCAGCGGCAGAAGTTGTTACCATAAGAGAGAATCTAAAAATCGTGTGTACCAATCTTTGATTTTTGATCTGTATGGAGGCCAAGTTGTTTGTGGTAACAGAGTGAGGCTTTAATAAAATCTGAGCCTGAGGAGGAAGACAGAAAGGGTTGCAGAATGGAATATCTCCAGGAAGAGGGCTTCTGTAAGCTCCAAGAGGGAGCTGGGAGAGGGTGTAGGTAGCCCCAAGGGCTAAGGGAAGTTCTGGGACCACAGGAGGAGGCTGAGAGGAGGGCTTAAGGAAGAGATAGTGCAGGTGGCTCCAAAGGGAAGGAGGGGAAGCATCCGAAGGGAGCTGAGAGCAGATGCTGCGGGACTGCAGGCGGCACCCTAGAGGTCATGTAGTGGCCCAGGTGGGCTTTGAGAAGCTAGACTGTTGGCAGCCCCTGGGGGGAGAAGACAAGGAAAGAGTCACAGGAGGTGACAGGTGGAACTGCAGGAAATCCAGCTGCTTCTGTGAGGAGGGCTGAGAAAGCTCCAGGCAGGAGCCAAACCGAGGTGGCTAAAATGTCTTTGTGTCAAGAATTTCTGCTTGGGACATCCCCAAGTGGAATGAGAAATTTATCAGAGAGAAATGTTCCGAATCACAGACAAGAGGCATTCTTACTCACGTGATAAGGGGGCCCAGAAGGACCAGAGGAGCTTTCTGGCACATGGTTGTGGTTTTTGTAGTATTAGTAAATGAAGTTAGTAGCTCCAGGGTGATTCTTATTCAGTAGAGAGATGCCCACATGGGCATGTTAGGCTCCAGGAACCGGGGAGACTGAGAGAGGAGGAGAAATGAACTTCAGAGTTCGGATTGAAATTTGTTGGGTGGCAGAAGCCAGCAGAAACAACTGATCTGCCATACTTTAGGAGAGAGAGATCCGCAGCTCGCTGAGGAGCCGCTGAGTTCCTAGGGAGGGAGCTGATTCATGCTCCTCCCAGGTTTCAGCACCAGCTGAATGAAAAAGAAATAAAACGAGAATATGGTGGCCTGCTCCTAAGGCATTGAGAATTTATTATAGATATAAGGAAGGACACAGGCAGAGGCATCTGGAAGGGTACAAACTAAACCAGACCATGAGAGGAGAAGGTGGAGAAAGAGCAAGAGAGAAAGAGAGAGGGACCAGGAGACCAAGAAGCTAAAGAGCTAGTAGCCCTAGTTATATAGGTTATATAGGAATCAGAAGCTGGGGGAAGGGAAGCCCCCAGTCCAGTCACTGGGCTGGAGAGTTTGGGCAGAGGGTGGGGTATGCCCGCCTGATGTCTCTGTAACAGGTGCTAGTGATGCTGTGGAACTGGCAACGACAGCTCTACTTTGCTATGTTAGTAGCCACCCCAGGTTTGAGACCTAACACCTACGTTTTGTGGTAAATGATTGAAAAAAAAAGTTTGAAGATTAAGTTCTGAGGATCTAAAGAAATTAATTAATTTCTTATAATTATTAACAATAAATGCAAATTGTAAAGAACTGAGGATGTGAACGCTTAAGTAAGTTGTGAGGGTCTAAGAAGGTGTTTCAAGGTAATATAAAAAGATGTTTCAGATTTTTCCCCCTCTCTACACTATTGTTATGCTAAGACAGAATTTTAACAAAAAGGAGTCGAGTTCTAGCTGATCTAGCCCTGGGAAAGCACAGACTACATCATAGTCCCAAACTCAAAATATAAAATCTCCTTTGGTTGTCTTCTAAGTATAGACTTAAAAATGCCTCTCATTATGCTAAAAACGTCTCTAAATGTCTCTAAATGTAAAAAAAAAACCTTCTTGTAAGCTTCAAGGAGTTATGAGACTTGGATCGACTGCTCTCAGGTCGAACACTCCAGATTAGTAGGCCTGTCAACCAAGAGCCCAAATTTCCCCACTACTGCCTGTTCCTGAGGGTGGGTGGGTTCTTTCTCCATTTCCGCTGGTCTTGGGACTACCCCAGCCATCTACCAGGACCGTGGGCCTAGAAGTTTCCAGTGTACACCCAAGATAAAAATTTTCCCCTAAGCTCCTTAACTCTGCCTTCTGTCCCGACGCTGTATCTGTCCCAGCGGATTTCCGATCTCCTGAAGACTGCAAACTGCTCCAAACATGCCAACCCTTGATGCTTCTGACTCATTTTCCGGCGTGAGCTTCTGTGTTCCAAAATGGTCCAAAGCGGCTAGCTCCAGGTGGCGCAGCCTCCCAGGCTGCTCCAGAGCAGCCGGCACTTCCCGAAGTCCCAGGTGGTTCTAAAGATCTGAGATAGTGGGCCAAACATCAGGCCTACCTCTCTCTCTCTCTCTCCCCCAAGCCTTGGCCAGCATTCCAGCTTTCCTGCCTCCCCTCCCCTCAACAACACCCCTATTTCACCTAGAAGTACTTACCACCCCTTTACCAACAACAAAAAGGCTGGGATGATAGGTCTCAAACAGGCGACCAAAGGCTGAGATGCCTATTAACATATTGAAGAGGATGCTGTCCCCAGCTCCTCTCAGGGTCCCTAGTACCTATTATGGAGTTATCCTGGATGGCATTACCCTTCCCCCTACTCCACACTCTCCAGCCCAGGGACTAAGCTGGGTTTTCTTTCCACCAGCTTCTCTGATTCCTTATATAACCCAGCCATTTGGCTACAAGGGTCTCTTTGCCTCTTGGCAGAGCCACTTTTGGTCTCTACTCTCCTGGTCTCTTGGCTTCTGACTCTCCCCTTTCCCCTTCCTTCCTCTGGAATTATGGTCCCTGTCTCTGCCTGTGCTTCCTTCGATACCTATAGTAAGAATCTCAACCCCTTAGGAGCAGTTATGTCTTCCTTTCCTTCCTTCCTTCCTTCCTTCCTTCCTTCCTTCCTTCCTTCCTTCCTTCCTTTCTTCCTTCCTTCCTTCCTCCTTCCTTCCCTTCTCTCTCTCTCCCCCCTTCATTCACAGGGATCCTTTCTGCTTGCAAAAGCAGGCTTTGAAGCTGAAAGAATACTTCTCAAAGCCTGTCATCGAAGTCTGAATAAATAAATAAATAAAAAATAAATAAATAAAGGTCATCTTTGAATGAATTCTCAACGCTTCCACAAAGATGTCTCACACTTGGCTGACTTTTCTTCTTGTCTCTTAGTGAAATTCCTGACCTTAGAAATGGGGTGAGATTGGTTTAAGCCCCTTGCCATTTGATTTTAGCCGAGGAAAAGGCAGATAGAAGGTTAATGTGCTCTAATGTCATTTCCGTACATGTTTCTTCTCTCTTTATACTAAGGAAGACTAGAAACCTTTTCTGCTTTTCCCCTTCATTTCTTCCCAGGCTCTGAATTACTATGAACCAAGAAGGGGGTTGTTGTCTTTTGTTCTTCTGTCTTAGTTGGGGTTTTATTGCTGACCAAAACCAACTCGGAGAGTGTGGTAGTTTGAAGGTAGTTGGTTACCACGGTCTCACAGGAAGTGGTACTGCTAGCAGATGTGGCTTTGTCAGAGTGGGCATTCTTTTGTTGGAGGAAGTGTGCCACTGTAGGATTGGACTTTGAGATTTTATATGCTCAGGATACAGCCCAGTTTCTGGGTCTCTGTTGCCTGCAAGATGTAGGCTTCTCAGCGCCACATCTTCCTGCATGCTGTCATGCTCCCTGCCATGATGGTAACAGACAGAACCTCTGAAACTGTAAGTGAGCCACCCCAATTAAATGCTCCCTTTGTAAGGATTGCCGTGATTATGGTGTCACTTCACAGCAACAGAAATCCTAACTAAGACAAAAATTGGTATCAGGGACTGGGGTATTGTTGTGATAGCTCTGACCATTGTTTTGTTTGGAGGAACTTGGACTTTGTTACTTGGGGATAAGAAAACAGTGGAATGCTTTAAGCACTGCCTAATGGCCCATACTAGGGGAAGCATGAAAAATAGAGGTGATAAGAGTTATTTGAACTGTTGAGGGCTCACTCAAGAGGTTTCAGAAGAGAATTTTTAGTATGTTGTTACCTAGAAATCATTCTGGTGATATTCTTGTGACGAAAGTGGCTGCCTTTTGCCCTAGTCTGAAGAGTCTGCTGTTCTACTGGAAGCTTAATCCCAGCCCCTGGCATCCATATACCTACAGAGTCTGGGATGTTCTGGTGGAAGCTCCATCCCAACCCCCTTCCCCCATCTCTCTCTAAAACTTGCCACATCTCAGAAAGCCTGCCAAATAATGGCCCCTCCCCCAGAGATGCTCAAGTCTGCTCCCACCGGGTATTTAAATTGCCCCCCAGAAAACAGATGTGTGGTTTTCTGGTCTTCCTTTCCTGTCTCTTCTCTGGGGGAGTGGAAAACCATCCAGGAACATTTTATCCATTAAACCTGGGCTTTTTCTAATTTGGTTTGATTTGGTCTGATTTGAATTGCTGCATCATCGGAGAGGCTTATCAGTGCGCAGGAACTTCTCAGCTGCCTGAGACTGGAGGGAAGAGTTCTGGATTAATTCCATTGGCAGAGGAAATCTCAAAATAGCCAAATGTACACTCTGCCACGTGGTTACTATTGTCCACCCTTATAAAGATTTATAATGAAAAGGAGCAAGCTGAGCAGGGCAAATGACAAAATGTAAGTCTGAGGAGAAAAAAACCACCTGGAGTTTGAATGGAGCTAAGTCCTGTGTTCAAGGAAACAGATAGATTAATAAATGGAATAAAAGGAGCGGTAGCCTCAGGGTAAGACCCACCCAGCTACGTTTCTAACTTCTGAAAAAGAACTAAAGAAAAGCTTACATCACTAGCGCTTGGGAGGCAGAGGCAGGTGAATCTCCGAATCTGAGACCAGCCTGGTCTAAAGAGCAAGCGTCAGGACAGTGCAATACCCATAGACCAATTTTATGGAAATTGTGATTCCCACCTCTCAGATGAATTTTTTTTTTTTGTTTTTTCGAGACAGGGTTTCTCTGTATCTTTGGTGCCTGTCCTGGAACTAGCTCTTGTAGACCAGGCTGGCCTCGAACTCACAGAGATCCACCTGCCTCTGCCTCCCGAGTGCTGGGATTAAAGGCGTGCGCCAACACAGCCAGGCTTCTCAGATGATTCTTATTTGTGTCAAGTTGACAAAAACCAATGAAACAAACAAACACAACAAAACCAAGCGGCACATCTGCTCTAGCCATCAGCAAAGCACCTGGAGAGTGCCTTCACCAGGCCTGACCCCTGAGAGCCAGGGCCTCAGACAGGCCAGTGATAGGAATGTTCCAACAGTTTCCCAAAGTCTCAATTGGGAATTACATGGAGCCATCTTACACATGACTTCTTACCTAACACCATCATTGATCGCTGGAGATGTAACGCAGTGGTAGGACATTGCCTAGCATGCACAATGCTTTGGGGTTCAATTCTCAGTACTCCCCTGCAAAGCAAAATGAAATAAAAAGCAAAGTAAAACAAGCAAATAAAGGCTGCAAAATATTCTGCACAGTGTTGTTGCTTTGTTTGCCTACAATTTATTTTACCTGACTATTATAATATATTGTTTCCAAATATTTATTATGCTATTGCAAATAGTACTGCCTTGAATATGTCTGAAAAAAAATGGGGTAGAACGGATTCTCAAAGTGGAATTGCTGGGTCAAAGGCTAAGGGGTGTATCTTTGTGATTGAAGCTTTCAAACTACTAGCCAACTTTAGCACCAATCAGCATCTCACAGTTTATAAAGCACCTGCTCTCGCATCCTCTCCACCAGTTCTTAAATTGTCAGTCAGAGAGTTGGAAATGCCACCTGCGTTGTTTCTTTTATTATGGGTGAGAAAACAATAAGGAGAGGATGAGGACATAGACTGCACATACTGAATAATTCAGCCAACTCACCTTCAGGAGAAAACACGAGGACTCAGTAGAAACTCAGGTCTAAATTATCCCAAAACAAAAACGAGAGGATGAGGGAGGCAGGAAAACCCGTCACTGTGAGAAGTGATGTCATGCGGAACCCATATCCGATGTTAAACTGGGCATTGACATCCAACATGGAGTCCACATGCTTAAAGGGTATGCGCTGCTGCACAGAGGTCCTGACTGGAGAACCAGGGGAGGGGGGGCCGAGAGGAGTCTTAGATGAAATCAGTCAGTCGTGACATCCGTGTGCAAAATTAGCAGTACAATCTGCAGGAATAATCGGGCCCCGCCTAAGCTTTGTGTGTCTGTTTCCTTAAGCACAGACAGAAAGCAGTGAGGACATGGGCACCTTGGAAGAGTGAGGATCAACCGGTGTCTGGTGTTAATGATTTTGCTCCTGGTGAGGGTTTCTAAAATGAAAACCTCCTGATTCTGATCGTCCAGCAGGTGGTGACAACCCAACACCCCAAACTTACCGTCTCTGAAACTTGGACAGGATTTCCCCTCAGAATTCAGCTTAGAAACGTTCTTTTCCATAGTAGTAAAAATTTATGTTATAGAATAATGCATGCTCATAAAATTTATGAGAATGCATCTCATATACTCACTTTGGATATCAATTGTTGAATTCTTCTTTCACTATCTTTACAAACTGAAAGTCTAATCTGGCTAAGAGCCCCAGGTGATTTGACTTCCACTCTGTAGCAGTCCCCTTAACTCAGTTTTACGAACACTTTGGTTTTAGGCAAGTGGCTCGTGTGGTTGCGGAGGAATGATAGATACAATATGTTGATCTTACCTCTTCTTCCCTCCAGTCTGGATGTGTTAGGCAAGTGCTCTGCTGTTGCCCTATGCAGTCCAACCTCTGAAACTTTAAAAGAAAAAGAAAAACTGTGGAGTAATAAAGGAGAGCCAACATGTTAGAAAGTCAACTTTACTAAATGTATAATTATGTAATAGAAAATGCAAAGGTATACACAAAAGGCATTCAGTTTAAAAAGCTGCAAACTTTTATAATTCTCTTAAAAACCAATTACACACATCCACAAGTAGAAAGTGTGACAGACAACTAAATGCTGTATACAGTCTAGTGAAAAAAAAAAAGCCTAGTCTTAATGAATTTTATTTGAGAAGTCAAAATATAATAAAAACACAAAAGGAAAAATAAAGGAAGACACTCATAATTATAGAGGATAAATATAGGGAAAATGAAAAATAATATTTAAGTTAGGCATAGACTAAATGTGCATACTCGGTCAGAACTTTCAGGCCATCTGTTTTACACAACTTACAAAAGAATACAGGAACTCTGTAAAAGCAGCCAGCAAGCACAAAAGCTTTAATAGCAGCCATACCTGCTCTAACTTCCCAAATACTTTCCAAAGCTTACCTTCAAGTTAGGTGGTAACTGGTGGGAGATGGTAAAGGTGACCATGGACAGAAAAGCAAACGGATGGTTGTTATAATGGTGCTTCATCCCAGGTATACAATGTCAGTCTTGCTTATGCCCTATAAAACACCAACGCCAACATAAACTCCTCACAGAAACTGGCGCTCCCCGGAAGTTCAACAACCAAACGATGGTTCTTTTTATATGATTAACATGAAAAGCCCTAAGTCAAGTTATATAGTGCTACTTAGAACAAAAGATTCTTCGAAGTTATGCTTTATTTTTAATTTATTTCCATTAGAAATGAGAAGTCGCTTACAGAGAGGGCTATGCATCATTTCCTTGGTGAGACATGGGGATATGTCTGTGAAAGTTTGAAATAGGACAGGCTGTAATCTGAGTTGATTTAAGAGGTGTTCTATAAAGTAGAGATGGGGGATGAGCTCAGAACTTTCACATTCTCGTCCCCTTTCAAAGAAGGAAGGACTAAATCCATCCTACCCAAACAGTCCCTCTCTTAGTAGTGAAACCTAGGCTTGAATAGAGTGGCATCAAAAGCCTTGTAATCCAGTCTCAGACGTGGGAGAGATCAGATAATGAGGGATATTTATATAATGATGACTGACTTACACAAAATTGAAAGGTGAAGTGAGCCCAGAAAAACCGGTCTGCTTTAGCCAAGAGTAAAGAGATTTGTGGGCAAAAGCATTCCTTCTGTCTCGTGTTCACAGCACGCCTTGGCGTGGCCACGTGACTCTGGTCCTCTGAGCTGCCTTAGACATCTCATGAACCTTCTCTTTCCCAGGCTTCAAGCTTCTTAGATTTTTTGTTTGTTTGTTTGTTTTTGTTGTTTTATGAGACAGAGTTTCTCTGTATAGCTTTATAGCTCTGGTGCCCGTTCTAGAACTAGCTATTGTAGACCAGGCTGGCCTTGAACTCACAGAGATCTGCCTGCCTCTGCCTCCCGAGTGCTGGGATTAAAGGCGTGCGCCACCACCACCAGGCCCTAGGTTTGTTTTATAGCCACCAGTGTAGCTTCTAAATACATGTTCTGGGATTTTGCTTTCTGCTTACCAAAATTAAGTTTTACCTAGTTGAAATTAGGTAAATTTCATATGAATGTTCTTTACTGTTTATTTTATTAATTGTTTTATCATTTGTGAGTGTGTGTGTGTGTGTGTGTGTGTGTGTGTGTGTTGTGTGGCCTGGAGTTTGAACTTTGGGCCTGTTCGTTAGGCAAGTATCCTACCGCTATATTAATACTGCTTTCCTCCAGCACATATTCATGCTTAAGAATGTTGGCATATGAACAGTTTTTAAAGACTATGTTATTATCTTATTTTATATGAAATACTGTCTTGGGTTTCTTATCATTCTTGTACTAGGTTTCCAATTTTTCAGCCCTAATTAGCTACTTAGTACCTTTTTATGTATTGTTTGGGAAATATGGAAATGGAAATCTCCAGTGGGAAAAAGATAAATGTGGCCAGTGACCATCATACATAATATGTTTTCTTAAAACTCAGTGAGCTGTGCGGAGTTGAGAAGCATTGTCTACAAAAGAAAAGTATAACTGAATTTTCTTAGAATTTAAACTTTTTCTCTATGAATAGTACTGTTGGGGAATGAGAAGTTAAAGAAAATTTAGAAAATAATCCTTGCAAAATACATTACTAAGCATGTGGGTAATGGAATGACCTAAAGGACGTAAGAACTCTCAGCTCCAGTAGCGTGTCTGCCTGCATCTGCTTTGCTTCCCACCATGGCAACAATGGACTAAACCTCATTGAAATGTTTTCCTTTATAAGAGTTGTGTTCATGGAGTCTTCTTCACAGCAGTAGAAACCCTGTATAAGACAAACACTTTCAGATAGTTGGCGCCCATTTATTTTCCTTTTTCCTTCTTCTCTGATGAGAACTGTCTGTTCTGCTCCTTCGCCCCTTTGTTGAGTGGACTTGTTCTTCGGTGTTTATATATTAGTGTGATTTCTTCTCAGATCCTAACATTAGTTACTATCTCATGGACAGTTGCAGTAGCTTGTTCCCTTTTCCGGAGACTGTCTCCTCATTCTGAGGACTGTTTCCTCTGTTATTGAGAAGCTTTTTAGTTTTATGAATCTCCCTCACCAGAGCTTGAGATTATTTCCTGCCACTAGAATCACTTCAAGGAAGTTATTAGCTATGCCTGAAGCTTGAAATGCTTTCCTCTAACAGTTTCAGAGATTTGGATCTTACGTGGAAGATTTTGGGTTGTTGTCTATAGCCTTTAATGTTTTGATATATGCTCCTTCTACACTCAATTTATTTAGGGCTGTTATCATAGAAAATGTTGTTCTTTGCTAATATTAATTTGACTTCTGTCCTTAAGTGCATTTGTGTGTTGTTAGGTAGGTATAGGTAGAGGTAGAAGTAGGTACAGATAGAGGTGTGTCAAATCATTCTTGTATTTGGTTATAGTATGTGATCTTAATGTGTTCTTGAATTTGTTTTGTAATAGTTTCATTAAGAATTTCTCTCTAGCATAGAAGCAGTATTTCCCATAAGCCTTTATCTTCTCAATTCCATTTCTCTGTACACTGAAGAAAAACCACGGTTTTATACAGAAATTCCTACTTGTATCCAAATTTTTCTTTAATAATTTTGATAGGTACTATCAAGAAGCTTGTAGTAACTAAATTCTTCTGCTGAATGATAGATGCTTATAAAGTTGCCAATATCACAAAATTCATTAAGTCATTAAGAAACCTGCAATAAATACGAATAAAAAAATTTGGTGACATCTGTCCAAGACTGGGTTAGAAATGTATGTAATTGCCTTGACAACATGCTTATATTTGAAAAAAAATTGTATTTTTTAAAGAAACCTAACCCTTTAACTTTTTATTTGTTTAGCTTAAGTTTCACTGCATCTTAAGGAAGATTATCTCTAATGACAAACACACGCCCCGTCATCACAAATCCAATAATTTTCCTGTCAGAAGTTCTTCCTACCAGGAGAAGTTTGCAGAAACCAAGAAAACACCACCTACCCCATTGCTCTTCTATGCTAGAGAGAAAAGAGAAACAATAAAATTATGCATAAGCCTGAATAGAATATCAAAAAAAAGAATTTCTGTATTTATACCCATCTTGGAAATTGGTTTATGGTTTTATTTAGGATATTCTTGTTTGGCAATGCCGACCTTTTAGAACAAGTTTGGCAGTGCTCCTTTCCTCTTCTTTGTGGAACAATTTGAGAAACATAGCTGTGAGAGCTTCTTTAGAGGTTTGGTAGAACTTGGCAGTGAATTCATCTTCTCCTGGGGTTTTCTCTGTCAGGAGACATTAATTTTTAAAATTGCTTCAATCTTCTAGTTAGTTGTGAATCTGATTAGGTTATCTATATCCTCTTGATTTATTTTTGGCAGTTGTAGTTCATAGAAATATAAAGAAATTTATATTTTTTATAAATTCTTCTAGATTTTCCACCTTTTAGAATATAAGTTTTCAAAGCATTTTTCCCCTACGGTTCTCTTGATTCATTGGAATCTGCTGTGATGTCCACCTTTTCTTCTCTAATTTTTATTAATCTTTTCCTCTGCTTTGGTCTTTCAGCTAAGAGTTTATAGATCTTGCTTATTTTTTCCAAAGGGCCAATTTTCTCCACTTATTCTTTGTATTATTCTGTTAATCTCTGTTTAACTTAAGTATGATATTTTTTATTTCTGTCAGTGGCTTTTTGTTTTTCTAAGACAGTGAGGTGAAGCATTGAATTATTTACTTGAGGTATCTCTGATTTTTTTTAAATTGTGGTAATACACACTATCCCATTAGAATTGTTTTTGACGTAAACAAAAGCTCTGAAAGGTCTGGTTTTATTTCATCGGATTGCACGCTTTCCTAATCTTCTTCCCTGTTTATTTAAGAAACCACGGTCATTTGTGGGTTTGGAACTATTTTATAGTTTCTGGCGTTACTCTTGCTATTGATTTCTATTATATTCTTTAGTGATGTGATAACATACAAGAAACTATTTCAGTGCTTTTGCATTGTTAAGACTTGAATTCCAGTTTAAAATGTGATTCCTTTTAGAGAAAGGAAATTGCTGTGGAATAATCCTTTGGTATACTGTAAAGATTTGTTGCTCAGTCTGGTTTTATAGAAAGCTGACTGGCCGGCAGCCTGGCTGGAAGTAGAGGTGGGACAACTGCACTCGAGAGGCTGGAATGAAGAAGCGCAGAGCCAGAGGAGGCGCCAGCAGACGCAGAAGAAGCAGGATGTGTAGAGAATGAGGTAACAAGCCATGAGCCATGTGGTAGAGGGTAGATAAGAAACATGGGTTAATTTAAAAATGTAAGAGTTAGCTAATAATATTGGCTGATAATATCATATAATAATATTGGCTAAGCATTTATAATTAATATTTGAATTATCATTGTCGGTTATTTGGAAACTGGAAGAATGTCTGCTTACGGAGAAGAATGCATATTTCATGGCTAATA